AATGTGTATCATTTTTAAAATTTTGAAAAGTTTAGGGTTTTTTTGGATAAAAAAAGTATAAGGTTTAAATTGTGATGAAAAAAAAGTAAAGGGTTTTGTTTTGGATTATCCTTTAGGTATATGTTAAAATTTGCAAAGTTTAGTTTTTATTTGTGAATTTCAATATAGTTGAGTATTTAATTTGGAAGTGAGATAGTTAAATATTTAATTTGGAAATTTGGTTAAAGTTCAGTATTTAATATGTGAATCTCCCTAATTATTCTGCTATATATATGGACTATATAGGGTACATTTGAACCCAATTTCAAATTCATATCGTTGTCACATGGACTCATCCGATAAGTTAAAGCTCACGTATAAAAGGTCGATAACGACTTCTTTCTCACGAAGTATAATATTGAATTGGTTTATTTGTTTTGATGACAATGATGAGTAAATCAAAACACTTGTCCACGTGTCCATTCTATTCGGGAAAAGCCCTGAGCGTGTCTTTGGACAACAAATGTAGAAATAGTACTCGTGATTTTACCACGAAATTAACTTTGTTTATAATTTTTTTGATTGAAATATTCTTATATACTAATTTGTTTAATGTTTTTCTAAAATATATATTGATTAAAAATTATTTATATTTGTTATCAAATTATATTTTTATTTTGTTTCAAATTTTTCAAAAAATTTAAGATTACTATAAAATAAAATAAATCTACCGTAATTTAATCAGATTTTAACTTTTTTTATATTTTTTTATAATGAATTTTATCTTTTTATTTAAAACCCATATAATTATTAAATTTTAAAAATAATTTTTTTTGAAAAAATGAGGCCCAATTTTCGGTCCTATGCCATGGCACCACTTGCACACCCTATTACACCGGCCTGGATTTTATGTACGGAATCACCCTCGTGGAAATTCCAAAACGCCGGGGCCTAAGATGGGCTTTGGAAATAGTTTCCAACTCATCGCCACCGCAACAAAAGATTGGGCCAAGCCCAATTTCATTAAAGGACCAACTGCAAAATATTGGGCCATGCACAGTTATATAAAAAGGCCAAACAAAGTATTGAATTAGCTTTATACAAAATACGTTGAGGATCTAGAATTTTTTGAATTAAATAATTTGGGCAGGGTGCGCCATGTCCTTGCTGTAGTGCAACGCATGGGCGACGCGTGTGAACCCCGACAGCAAGCTACCGAAATGAGACCACCCCCATAAAAAATAGAGTTAATATCGTTGTGGACCAATGATCCACGTATCAGATATTAAACTGATAAGAACAGATACTACACTTGATCTTAGCCAAAAGGCCGAGAAAGGTATGCTTTGCTTCAACTACGTCTCTTCCCTTTTATTTCATGCTTCCTTCTTCTACCCCTCTTCCATTTGTCGATGTGGGACTCGAGGAGTCACTTCCTCTTAAATGACCTCTTCTCTCTCCGCTTCGCAACGCATTGTGCTTAGGCTCCTATCATCATTTTTATTTCAATCTCCTCTGTTCCTCTGTTCCTTCTTGAAAATTCAGACAACTTTAATTTCTAATTATATTTTTATTAATATATATATATATATTAAAATCACATATAAATATCCAAACTTTTACAAAAAATCTCACATAAATACCTTAATTATAAAATTTTTACATAAATACCTTAGCTTTTCTAAAATCTTATATAAATACCTAGACTTCTAAAAGACTCTCAAATAAACCCAAAATCTATTAATGACATCATCTATTTTTATTTGAAAAATATTTGAAATTTGTATTTATTTGAAAAAAAATTCAAAAGTGTAGGTATTAAAATAAGACGACATGACTTGAGAAGAGACAAGAGACATGAACCCTTGATCTGATTCCAAAGCTTCCATAAACTCCGGAACAAGACACACTTCCAAATCTATGCTCCTGCCCCCTTCTCTTCCCGGATAAGCCCACACTCCCCCGTCGAATTTATGAGCGTACCCGCCGCGAAGTGTCACCGCCTTTCCCATCCCGAACTCGCATCTGTACTTTTCGAACCTCGGTGAGCTTCCCATCATAATACTAAAAGAATCAAAAGTCTGCTCTATCTGATAAACATATGGAGATTCCAACCAATGATCAATGTTTCCAGCAATCTTATCGCTCGTGTGTTCAGTTACCGCGTGATGTACCTTCAATGCAACCCATCCGAGGCCGTTGTCTAACAGATCGCCGGCTCTTGATTCAGTTCTTAAAGCGAAAAGGCAGTTCCAAAATAGTTCTCGGGCAAGGGTGGCTCCATTCTTGATCTATTGTTTGCTGCGAGTATGCAGCTTGTTTCTTGGTCGGGGGTAACCTTCGTGCCCTCGTTATAGATCTCCACATTGTAACAACCCCAATTTGAAAAAAAAAATGTATAATTTTAAAAAAAAATGCATGATCGATCGATCATGTCATCACGATCGACCGATCGTGTAAAGGAGAAGAATGATTACAACATGACAGAACTTCGGTAGCATCAAGTCGTTTTCGTTCTCCACTCAACCGACAACCACGTTTATTCTGTCAATCATATCAATTCGTTCTCTCCTTTAAAAATACGCCTCGGTGGGTGAAGCTGCAAAAGAAAAAAAAAAGAAAACTACGCGTATAGAGGAAGAGACAGAGGGAGAGAATCAGAGAGAGTGAGAGAGACATAGGAAGATATACCGGAGACACCGAGCGTCCGTATGCACCGTCGGTAACACAGACGCGAAGAGGACTCACGTGCGGAACACGGACGACAGACACGCAGAGAAAAGCTCACCGAAAACGACCGAAAATGAAGGGTCCGAAGGTGAGGAAATAGGGGTTCTTCGGGAATTCCGTTTTTCATGGTTTTAACGGTATCGATTAGTGTATCTATACTTAATATACCTGGGTAGGGAGTTTGGTAGAGTTTGGATAAAAATCAGAGTTGTTCGAGTTCAAAAACGAAGAAGACAAGCGACGATTGCGGCGATAGTCGATCAAACGATCGTCAGTTTAAAAAAAATCAGAATATAAAAACAAAATAATAATAATAAATAAATAAATAAATATATAAAAATAAAATATTATGGATTAAATAGAAATATTATATGGGTAAATAATACCCAGAAAAATATAGAAAATAACAAGAAAAAATAAAGAAATTTGACAGAAAATACCGATTTAGAATTTTCAACAAAATGGTAAAAAAATAGAAATTAACCATTAATGTTAAAACAGATAAAATGGATAATAATTACCTAAAAAGCTTTAATAAATGGAAAGAAAGGACGAAAAAAACCGTTTTGGAATTCACGGTCGAACGGTAAAAACGGAAATTTACTGCTACGATAAAAATTAGTCAGAATGAATGGTAATTATCGAAAAATTAGAATAAATGGAAATAAAGACGTGGTGAGCGGTGTGATTTAACCATCGAGAGACCATTTGTATGCGGGCAGATTGCATGGCATTAATCAATGGGTCGGTTGGGACCAGACATCGTTACACGTGTAATTGTAATTAGGGAATTGGTACGATGATGTTATGTGTGTGTAGTCTATGCGTACAGCCTATGAATGAGTTGTGGTGTAGTACGAATTAGACATGATTGTGAATGTGGGACCAGACGGTGCAGATCGTTGCGATGGCTAGTACCGAGTCACGAAGATGATTGGACCAGATGATACAGATGGTCGAGATAGCCAGTATCAAGTCATTACGATATGGGGACCAGATGATGCAGATGGCTAATATAGCCAGCATCAGGTCATTACGATGATCAGACCAGATGATACAGATGGTTGTGATGGTCAGTATCGGGTCAATGAGTAGTAGTCACATGTACAGTGTGAGTTGACAATGGGGTCAGCACTGTCGCGTCGATGATGATGGGATGATTCCGTCCTATGATGTGATGTCATATGGACTTGTTTGTGATTGCGTTGTGTGTGATTATCGAGATGCGTATATATGTGTATATATAATATGTGGAATGTATGATAGGTATAGAGACAGTAATTGATACCGTTTCTCTATGAGAAAGTAATATCCGGGGTCCACCCTGATTACTCATTGAGCGTATGTGCTCAATCCTCCATTGTTGATATTTTTCAGATCCTGAGGAGCACGAGTAGCAGCATCACGTACGGTGTTTGGATTTGGTGTGTGTAAAAATAAAGGATCATATCCCAGGATTTCGATGTGATATTTTACTATTTCAAACATGTGTTTGATTTTATATTAAACTATGTATTTTCCGCTGCGAACTCTTTAAAAGTGTGATATAAGATATTCCCGTGTTTTGGTTTTATGGGTTTTAATGGAATGTCCATGTGGCGCACTTGTATTCACAGGATACAAGTTACGGGTGTCACACACACAAGGGCAGTCAAAGATTGGAAGGATGAAATTGTCATTGCTCCACATTCTTGGTTTTTCTGTGATTTGAGTTTCCTAATCGTTTCCGATGAGAAATGGAACATTCTTTCCTCGAGAACCGGAGATTCGAATCTTTTGATGAATTCATCCGGATGACTGAATGGGAGATCAAGAATAGGGTTGTGCCCACCTGGGAACCAACGTTTTAATATCGGAGGATTTGTGATATAAAAACCGTCGTTCTTATCGCTTTCTTGCGCTCTGAATATCTCAGACCACGAGTTGAAAAAATTCCAGAACGAGCTACCATCGCCCATTACGTGATTCATAGACAATCCAACGAATATTCCATCCGCCAATTCCGTCACATGTTCAAGCGAAACAGTGAGCATAAGCATGGAATCTAATCAATCTCTTTGTCTCTCATTCTTCAAGAATCAGATTTCAAGTTCTAATATGTCGCTTTGCCGAAAACGTTTGATCTTTTCATACCAAAATGGACGTCTTCTACACCTTTTTATCAATCAAAATACGTAATAAACAACACAAAGTATAAGTTTAAGATTAGTATACAACACATAATGCATCGAATGCATCGAATCTTGATTACCTTGACCGATAAAAGACTCTGCTCATGACCATCGTGATTGACAGCTTTGTGATGATCAAAGAAAGACTGAATGACCAAAGGAAGATACTTTGATCCAAGAATGTCAGAAACAGACAAACCCGTGTCGGTGGATGAATCTAGCACTCGGGCTGCTGTTACAATCACGAAAATCGAATACCGCTTCGGATTTTCCGACTTCAAGGTCACGAGACAGCCGACGAGAGGATAGAAATGGACAAGAGCAATGGAAAGAGAGTCTCTAAGCTTCTGAAGAAAAGTGTTCATGAACTCTGCTTCGTTGTATGCCTCGTTTGGTTTTGAAACAAGTGACCCTTTTGGATATAATGTTGCGAGATCATCGCGAGGTCGAAATGCGACAACAAGTAATACGGTCGTTTCGATTCTTCGGGCATCGATTCGAGCTTCACAAAGCATTCGGAGACAGTTTTTACAGAAGAAGAATCAATTTTCTAGACAAAGAGAGCAGATTTTGCTTGTCCAAGCTCCTCGCCTCGGGGTTTATGATATTTAGTTGACGTAAATGAATGACATGAATTAGAATTTTCAAATTGCATCTTAATATGACAACTCTTGTTTTAAAAGGGAAAAAACCCTAAAAATTTCTAAACTTGTAATTTGGAGTAATATTAATTCCTAAACTTGTAGAGATGCCTATTAATTCTCAAACTTGCAAATTAAACACGTTAAATCCTGAACTTGTTAAACGGTTCTATAATCGTCCATAGCGTTATTTGGTCAAAAAAACGAGTTGACCGATCCGACATGGCACGTGACGTGGCGGTAATTTTCTGAGTTGGCTCGCCACGTCATGCGCCACGTTAGATTAGTCAACTCATTTTTTGACCAAATAACGCTATGGACGATTATGGAACCGTTTAACAAGTTCAGGATTTAACGTGTTCAATTTTGCAAGTTTGAGAATTAATAGGCACCTCTACAAGTTTAGGAATTAATATTACTCTAAAATACAAATTCAGAAATTTTTAGGATTTTTGTGAATAAAGTATGATTATCTTTTAATTTCTAAATTGATTATGAATTGTTTTAGAAAAAATTATATTAAAAAGGATATTTCTAAATTAAATGTATTTTTCCAAATATCCTTTTTAATATATTTTTCCTAAAACAATTAATAATCAATTTAGATTTTGAATATTTGATAGAAAAATACAATTATTAGATTATTTTCTCTATAACAAAATATAGATGTTATTATAACAAAATCTGGGCCTAAAATTATATAACTAAAGTCGATATATATATACTCAATTTAGAAATTAAAAGATAATCATACTTTATTCACAAAAATCCTAAAAATTTCTGAATTTGTATTTTGGAGTAATATTAATTCCTAAACTTGTAGAAGTGTCTATTAATTCCCAAACTTGCAAAATTGAACACGTTAAATCCTGAACTTATTAGACGATTCCATAATCGTCCATAGCGTTATTTGGTCAAAAAATGAGTTGACTAATCCGACGTGGCGCGTGACGTGGCGAGCCAACTCAGAAAATTACCACCACGTCACGTGCCACGTCAGATCGGTCAACTCGTTTTTTTGAACAAATAACTCTATGGACGATTATGGAACCGTTTAACAAGTTCAGGATTTAACGTGTTCAATTTTGTAAGTTTGGGAATTACTAAGCACCTCTACAAGTTTAGGAATTAATATTACTCCAAATTACAAGTTCAGGAATTTTTAGGGTTTTTTTCCTAATTAATTTCAAAATTGTAAATATTTTAAGGAGTTGTTATGAAACGTTTTCTAACATTTATGTTATTAAATGTTTGGGAATCGGAATCTCGGGTTTAGTTTTATCAAAGTTGGTGAAGCTTGGCGGGTCAATAGTCTTTCGACCAAATTTTTTGTTAGTTAAAAAATGAGAAAATCCAAAACAAATACATGAACTTCTCACAAAATAAAATCTAAACTTTTTATCAAATAAAACCTCAACTTCATTTTTCAGTCAAAAATAAATCAAAACTTTGTAATCTTTGTCATTTTTAAACCTATTGCGGACGTGACGTTCCGATATCGTGACATGTAGATGAGAATATATCAAATATGATCAAAGTATTGACTTACCACGTACAATATCGATACACCACATCATCATTCAGATTTAAAAATGATAAAGATTATAAAGTTTGGATTTGTTTTAACTGAAAAATAAAGTTGGAGTTTTATTTGATAAAAAATAAAATTATGGTTTTATTTTGTTAAAATTGAGAAGTTTAGGTATTTTTTGAGATATTTTTCTTTTTAAAATGACATAATAATAATAATAAGGAAAAAATTCAAAAAAAAAACATTGAACTATTTAATTTTGAAAAAAAAATACTGAACTTTATTTGTTGTTAAATAAACATTAAACTTAAAAAAATCTAGAAAACACTGAATTTTTTAAGTGATCCAAAAAATACATTAACTTTTATACGATTATAAAAAAAGGGTAAAACCCCTAAAAAACCTCCAACTTGCAAAAATATACACGAATAAATCTTCAACTTGAAAAACTGTCATTCAATCCCCGAACTTGTAACTTGTCACCGAATAAAACCTCGAACTTGTAAATTATTGCTCTAATAAAACTTTGACCGGTTTGACCACAATTTTAAACGATCGGAAATCCACGTAATAACGTATTGCTGATGTCACCTTATACACGTTATCAATTTTAATTTTAAAATTGACATCAGCAATCCGTCAATACGTGGATTTCCGATCGTTTGAAATTGTGGTCAAACCGGTCAATGGTTTATTAGAGCAATAATTTGCAAGTTCGAGGTTTTATTCAGTGACAAGTTACAAGTTCGGGGATTGAATGACAGTTTTTCAAGTTGAAGATTTATTCGTGTATATTTTTGCAAGTTGGAGGTTTTTTAGGGGTTTTACTCTAAAAAAATACTAAATCAGGCTTCGAAAGCTACTCACATCTACAGAAAGGAATGTAATCGAAGAGGCCAGCGTAAAAGTACAGAATTTTTTAGTGATCCAAAAAAAATATATGAATTTTTTTCGATTGTAAAAAAACTAAGAAAAATAATCTGATATGTTTGTATCTCTTTGTACCACATCCGTCATTTTGTTTATTTTGAAAATCGTAGAAGAGTTAAGTATTTATTTTGTCAAATTTAAAAAGTTTAATGTTTATTTAATAAAATAAAAAGTTCAGTGTTTTTCTTGTTTTTCTTGTCAAAATTTGAAAGTTAATTTTTTTTAAAGATTTTTCCTAATAATAATAATAAGTTGACAGAACGATGTAGGCGACTTTTAATCATCGTGCAGTTGGACAGCTCGAGAGGTCTCTTCAGGAATTGAAATAGCCACAATTTCAAATGCTTAGTGGATAAAATATAATTGTATACTGATTAATTAACAATTTATGACCCATTAACATGTGTATATCATGATGTTTCTTTCTGGATAAGTAGAAAAAATGGAGAAAATTCTCTTCCTTCAAAATAAATGAGATTTTAGTAATAAATTAAAATTCTCTAATTATAAAATTAAAAGAATTTTATTTTCTAATTAAATTCACCTCTTT